TGGGCTCTTGGGGTTCCATCCGCCCGCCCGCAGCTCGAGGCTGAACGGTTCCCCCCAAAAAGCCCCTTCGGTTATTTGCTCCGAGATTAAATATTCAAGATTCTGAACTCATTAACTCCTCGGCCCGCAGGGGAGCGGGGAGAGCTCAGCACAGCGGCGCCGAGCGGAGCAAGGGGGGGAAAAAAAACCTCCGGGATAAGGATTTGCGGCTCTCCTCATCCCAAGCGAACGCAGGAGGGTGGTGGGAACCCCCTCCCCAGACCCTTTAAAACGTTCACCTCCGAGGAAGCTCCGCTCTCGGCGCGCCGGCCCCGTGCCAGCCCTGGCGGGGAGGGAGAGGCAGCGAGAGCCGCGTAGGGCAGGCGGGTTAAAACGGGGAGGGAGAGGGGGGGGAGAAATAACCAGGCAGCAGCCAGAGACAGCCCAAAGCCGGGGTAAAAAAAACAATCAGGGAGAGGCAGCGAGAGCCGCGTAGGGCAGGCGGGTTAAAACGGGGAGGGAGAGGGGGGGGAGAAATAACCAGGCAGCAGCCAGAGACAGCCCAAAGCCGGGGTAAAAAAACCAGTCCGCTAACCTCCAAATCCTGCAAGAGCGGGCAGGCCGGCGAGGGCAGGCGGCAGCGCGGGTACGGAGATACAGAGAGAGGTGAGTCACGGCGGACACAGCTCATTCCCAACCCGAAGAAAAGGGGCTGCGAGGAAGGTGGGGAAGGGGCCGGGGCAAGCGGGACGCGGGACTGGCTGACGTTTGTGGGACAGACCTCTGCTCCGAGGCCGTCTGCGGCTGCCCAGCACCGCAGGCAGAGCCGGGTGAACCCCGGGAAGGGGATGGACTTGGGGTTTTTTTTAATTATTTTAAACAAAGTGATGGTGGGTTGGGACATCTCTGTTTCCTTTAGCTGCCACCACGGTACCGGGAGGGCAGCACGAGCGCTGCCGGCTGGCACAGACCGCGTCTCACCCCACGACCGGCGCAGAGGAAGGAAGGAGATGGCAGTGAGAGCAGCCCGGGGAGGGGTTGTCCCACCATCACAGACGTGCTGCAGGACCATCCAGCCCACCCCAAGCTCTGAGCGGAGAGCGGGGAAGGCAGAGTGGGCAGCAAGGGTGGGCAGCGACCTCGGCTCGGTCGTTTCGGAGGAAGGCATGGGAAGGGGCGTACCGTGAAACTGGGATTGCTGGGCTGGATCCTGAGCTCTGCCAGCACCCAGATACCGTTGGTGAGCTTCAGGGATTGGTAGAGCATGTCTTGGCCCTCCACGTTCCTTTTGGCGATGGTGAAGATGTTGCTGCCTTGGAGCTTGCTGCTAACAGCGTCTGCGTGGGAGGAGAGAGGCGCTGCGGGGGCTGCTCGGGGCTGAGCATCAGCTCCCTTCGGACCCGCTCCTGCCCCATCTCCCCCTCCCCGTGACGCAGCACATCCAAAAGCCGCCGTTCCCCATGCAGCGAGGAGAAGGGCTCTATTCAACCGGGCTCCCGTGTGTGTCCCCCCCTGCCCCGGGAGAGCGAGCGACAGCCCAGAGCTCGATTCACAAGCGGAGCCGCCCCGCTTTGCTCCGCAAAGGTCAGCTCGCCGCTGCCAGCGGGACTGAAAGGACTCGGCTGTCCCTGCCCAGGGTGTGCACGTCCCGCCTGGCACCGGAGAAGGAGCTGGGGGAGCGAGGAGGCACCGGGGAGCCCGGTCCCACCTCCTGCCCACGAGCACAGGACGTGCCCGTGGGACGGGCTGCAGCGAGACTGGGCAGTGTCGGGGCTGCACGATCCAATTCAGCGTCTCCGCAGCGAGACTGGTGCCAGGGTGGGCACAGGAACTGCCCCCCGTGGCAGGGACGTCCCCACCGGGCAGAGCAAGCTTGGAGGCTGCCACGTTTTTACAACTAGCCAACGGCAACCAAAGCAACAGCTCCTTCTTGGAGACACGGGGTGGGCACAGGGGGAAGGAGTTCCCATCTCCCCATAGCCTGGGCTGGGATAACTGGGATAAGCTACGAGCTGAGCCGCGTCCTCCTGAAGGGTTTGGACCCACCTGCGTTGAGAGAACAGTCTTTGATCTGGAACTGGGCCTCATTCTCGTTGGGAATGTCCTTCCAAGTGGCCAGGAACATCTGCCGCTCTGCAGCAAGGAACAAAACCAAGGCAGCGCTGAAGCGACGGGATCAGCCGCCCCCCCAAAAGGCGGTACACCCCAGGGGCCGCGCCGCTGAAGGGATCTCGCCCTGCCACATCGCCGTCCCCTCCAGCGGCTTCCCCAGAGGAACGGTACCCACTCTGGGGGGGATTAGCAAGCTGCGCTGGCTCGGCGAAGAGGCCGGTGAGCGCCAGAGAAGGCAAAATGAGCAGCGAGCGAAGCTCTCCCCGGCAGTGAGGAGTTAGAGAAGGTGGCTCAGACCATCTCAGGCAGCCACAGTGTGGTCACGCTGGAATGGCATTGTCCCCATCTATACCTTGCTCGGTCCCCAGGGCTCCTCCCCCAGGGAGGATTTCAGGGGCTGGGATGGCACCTATAGACCGGTGGCAAAAGTGTACCACAGCCACTCGTGCTCCAACTCACCCATCTTCCCGTCCTCCACGAAGAGGATGTGCAGCGGGTACAGGGTGCTGAAGTAGAAGACGTCGATGTTGTTTTTCACCGCGACCTGGGACAGAAGGACACGGGGACGTCAACATTTCCTCTGACCTACAGCAGGCGAGTGGTTCCCAAAGCGAGCATCCCATCCCATCCCATCCCATCCCTCTTGAGCCGGGCATTATCCAGTAAGCACCACCGACAAGAGAGTGGCAGCTGCCAGAAGGGAGCTGGGACAAGCCAGCACCCATGCCCCGCATGCCAGCGTGCTCCCAGGGGTGCCACTGGTCCCCAGCGTATAGGGGGAAATGGGGGAGCTGCCAGGGCTGCACCCCCTCAGCCGCCTTCTCCCAGCTCCCTCCTGGGAACCCCAGCTCCACCGCCTCCCCTCGCGCTGGGACACGGCGAGCAGATGCTCGGCTCAGGTTCGGCTCTGCCGCTGGCAGCACGGATCCTCCTCCGCAGAGGAAGCGGTCTGCGCGCAGCTGGATGTTAAATCGGCGTCAGACTGAGCTCTGACAGCAGAGATGAGCTGAGCATTTCTTCTGGTTCCTGCTGTCACACCTCCCTCCGGCTCCCTCACCCCGGGAGGTTCCACGTTCCCCACCTGGAGGTTGTTGAGAGGGTCCATTTTCATGACGGAGCCGACGGTGTTCAGCGGAAGAGAGATCTCCACGGACTGGTTGGGGGCGAGAGGCGCGTGGACCTGGAGAGGCGCTGCCGGGGCCAGGCCGAAGCTGGGGGACACCCGAGGAGGGCAGGGGGTCAGGGTGGGGGGCAGCAGATGATGGGAGAAGGCTCTGCCCGGCCGCTCCTTGGCCAACCTCGGGACTCCCCGCCTTCCTTCACTCCCATCCCAGGAACACCCCAGCTCACGTTGCACAGTCCAGGACCAGGCTGGCTCCTGCCCAGCTCCCCCTGGGGCAATAACAGGTGGCCCCAAAAAATCTTACCCTGTCCTCCTACACAACCTCACACCCATTTTCCTGCACCATTCCCTCAGGGCCATCCCTTGTTGCGTCCCTTTGAGGGGAAAAAGAGGTATCGGGTCACCAGGAGGACAAGTAACGGGACAGCGGTCAGAGCCCGGAGGAACAGCCTCTTCAGTCAACTTCTTAGAGGCTTTGGTTTGAGGATCATCACCACCACAGCCATCAGAGAGAGAAGGGTCATCACGTGAGGCTCTTCCCAGCCCTTGCAGCCCCTTCCTCCCCCGCTTTTCCGCACGCAAACCGCTCCAGAGCTGAGCTCGGAGGTGTCACGCGGCGTCTTCACCAGTCCCTGCCCAGGGGGACCTCACCTGTTGCGGTTGAACTGGATGGCAAAGTCAGACATGACCTGCAGAGCCTTGTTCGTTAGCACGAGGTCCATGGAGATGGAGCCCACCTGCCGGCTGAAGGTGCCGGAGATCTCCAGCCCTTTGGCCTTCATGGCAGGGAGCCACACCTGGGTTAAGGAGACAAGAAATCCTTGGAGTTTTTCCCAAAACGAACCCTTCGGTGCTCTCCAGCCTGGCAGGTTTGTAGACCAGAAGCATTTCACAGCCACCGACACGCAGTGGGCACAGTCACCGTCACCAGGGCTGTGGGATGCTGCTGCCGAGTCCTCCAAACCTCATCCCACACGGCAGGAAACAGCACAGCCCCAAAATCAGAGACACGAGCTGACGGAGCCCCGCTCTCCTCTCTGCTTCGGGCTCTGTGCCACCCAGGGGAACACACAGACCGCCTCTGCCCCGCGTCCCCGCAGCCGGGCGAGCACCCTAACACCCTCTTCACCTGCAGATGACCACCCTCACCCATCTCGCTACCGCGCTGGGACGAGGGCAGCTCGTCTTCCACCTCCCCGCGAGGAGACCCCGCAGCGCGGAACGGGCACAGGGGGTGTCTCTGCCCCTCCCCTTAATGCCACAGCCCTGAGCTTTGCCAGCAGCCGGCGGCCAAGGTTCG